TTCTTGGAAAATCCTCCAGATGGGAAATCTCGCTCTATTCGAACGAGGAAACTACGTCAATGGTTGTTTTTTTGAATGGATGCAGGGTGGATTACATCAAGGTGTGCTATTACATCGGGTGACGCCAATCAACAAGTGGTAAGAAAGGGACATATTTCACTCCCCTAAGACAACTAGCGGTTAATTTCCGTTAAAAAACAGTGCTTTGTCTTGATCGCTTTGCTCGGCTTTATGACCCAAGGCAATTGTGCAGAGTGACGCAGAGGAAATAAGCTCCTTCAAAAATCCACATAAATAAAGTTGGCGATTTTATAGTGTAATTAGAGAGTAGGTTAATAAATAACTTCCGGCGCTAAAAAATACACCCTCATAGTTTGAAAAAAATACCCAACAGCTGTATAGTGTCAATGATGTTGACTCATACAAAAAAAAGAAGAAAATGAGAACTTGAGAATTTATACTTGGAGACTTTGCAGGTGGCAAAGGGCAGCGAAAAATTGCAAATTTTCTTGTCCTTTGAATTCTTCTAGTGAAATAGCATATCTGTGACAAAATGGCGCAATAAAACGAGCTCCTAAAATTTTCTCAAAACTCTATAAAGTGGAAAGCCAAAATGGACGTAAAAGGTATCTCGATGTTTCTAATATAATTCTGTTTTTATCTGCAGTACTGCACAGGAAAAATTACCGTGACAGGGGAAAGTGTGAAAAAGTCCACAAAAACAGAAATCTCAAAATTATCCAGATACTTCGACGATGTTTAGCGAGTGAAATTTTTGTGTATCAAATTTTCAATGGCGGTCGCGCCTGCATTGCAAGTTATCTGTGAACAATTAAGAGATCTGTTTGGAATAATATATAAGAATATTTCCGATTTTTTATTACTCTGTGTTTGTCTTGAGATCTGATTCAAATAATACAAAAAAGTATCAAAAATCTTGTCATGATATGAAGTGTAGAGGTTGTACAAAGATTTTTTTAGAAATTCCTAGCTCAACATCTTCCAAATAATTTTTGAAATGTACTTTTCAACGAATTATCTAGCCAAGCCGTGAAAACACATTGGTTAAAATACTCTGACTCAGTAATACACAGTTACTAATAAATTATTCGTTGTTGGAATTATCGATTACCTTTAACGATCCTATCGATCATTTCATTCTAATTACATGCAAAAAAAAAACAATTAGGCTGTGACTACCTTCACACATTTCATTTTTTAAAGCATCAAAGTATCAGCACTGCTCTCCAAGTTTTTTTTTTGACAACCCACACAAAGTTTTCCAGAGCACAACAGAAAAACTGCTCAAATCGAACTCGTTATCAGAAAGCCTGCCGCATGCAGCTGTAAGTTTGTCTTTACACTGTCTCCAGTGGCGCTGCAAATAATTTAATGGTTGTTGCACATGTCAATCCTTTGATTGATCACAAATTCCTAAGTAAAAGTACTCGCCAGATACTAGGAGGGGATAAAATTTCGCTAGGCAGTTGCAGTAAAAGATGACAGCAATTTTAAAAAATACAAAATTTTCAGCCTTTCAAGATAGGGATTGAGCACAAGGTTTCGTCATGGGACCACGATTCAGCACAATTTCGACAGTGAACTTCTAACCGCTTTTCCATTTTACCCGCAGGCGATTTGCACTTGCCCGATTGATAGGAAGGAAACAGTAGATTATCATGGGTGGTCAGCTAGGGAACGCTGCACCTCACGCACCGCCTATGCCCTTAGGCACAAAAATTTACGCACACAATAGCTGGAGCCCCTGGTACGACGACAACGAACCCGAGTGACCCGCACCCGGGGTGTCAGCGCCGGCGGGGCGGCTGCCGCCATCGGCTGCGCGCTCGTCTGCGCCATCCGCGCAGCGCACGCTGTCTGCGCGCGAGCACCGCGCGTCGCGGCCTTGCGGCGCGCCCCGTGTCCGTTGCACAACCTCGGCGCTGCGCCGATTGCATCGTAATGTCGTTCGTTCGTCGTCGTTTGCATCCCCCTCCCCCGTGTAATATGTGTGCGTGTGTGTGTGATTTTGAGTGAATTCGATGTTCTTTGTAGGAAGGGTTATGCAATCGTTGGATGGCACGCCCACCCAAAATTCTGCAATGACTCATTCTTTTCGGGTGCGTTTGTAAAGTACACATGTTGCACAATTTATCAATCAATCGACGATTTGTGAGGGAATTTCGGGTTTTGAAACAGGTCATTTCTTCATGCTTCGATCCAGTCAAACCTCGACAGCATTTCTTTTAGCAACTCGCTTCTTTCTGGTATTTGTTCCCTTTTTACAATCCATATTCCTTTTCTGTTCATGAAATCTTTTTCCTATTTCCTATTTTCAGAGTTCTTCTTTTTTTCATAATCTTCCCGGTTGTTAAACTACCCAGCAAAAACGTCTTTGGCACAGCTTCCACACTCTCCTTGCATTATCGATTTTGACTCCTGACGCAGAACATAATATTTTGTTAGCGCAGGTCCGTTTTTCGTTGGATTTGATTATTATGACAGCTTATGCGTTAGTATCGATCGGTTGTTCCTCTCCCTAGACTGTGTTTCACCCTTCGAAATTTTCGACCGTTGAAACCGTTGCAAAACAAATCATTTTTCCTGTTATTGCGCTTAACATATGTCAAGACAGTGCTAAAGGTGCAGAAGATATCTGTCATTGATTCATGTTATCGGTACCTTGTGTTTCCAAGAAAACAAGCATTTGTTTGCTAAAATGTGTTGTATGTTGATTTTTCTTTTGTTGAATCAACAGTGTTGCTCACAGGCTTATTGCGAATTTAGGAGGGAATTACGAGCCATGCTGAACTCAAAGATTGTTTTGACCATGAGCTTGCCGTTTTGGTTCGTAATTTTACTCATTTTTTAAAGTTTTTTGACTTGGATTTGTAGACGGCTGTGCAGGAGAGGAAAGGATTTTATTTCATGGTGAAGTTTAAAGCATACTTGCTATTTATTTATGATATTTTCTCATCAGACTCACAAAATTGAACCTCTACTTTGGATCTCTAGTCTTTTTTTGTATGGTCTTTTTCCTGTCTCAAAGATCACATATCAGATGCACATTAGCCTCTTCATTCAGCAGAATAATTATGTTTTTACATTAATGCTCCTAACCTTTGCGAATCACGCTTTATCATAAGATGCAATGCATCATGTGCACTCTTAATTTGTTTTGTGACTCCCATATTGTGACTGTCTTAACTGGCAGAAACGAAATCAAAAGTTTCTGCTGTCAATCAGAGGCTTTAGCCTGAAGATATGGAGTTAATGCCATGCAGTCTTTGTCGTTTTTGTTTTCTTTCTTTTCGCAGGGGTTCAAATTATGCAGATTGTCCTCGAAGAAGCTAACTTCAGCTAGTTTCTTGGCGTAATTTGCATCGTCAATGGTCATCACTAGAAAATGTTACTTTGATCACCATCATTGGTAGAAATAGCTATTTCTAAGGGTAGTATACTCGTCCTGTTTTTTTTTTCTTTTTACTCATTTAGAATGCATAGCTTAGTGAACCACATTTTCTCAAGTTTTCGCTTCCAGACATTTTTTTATATCTGTTCATTCAGTGACACTTATTGGCTGTTAGTTCTGAACATGTCAAATTAGGAAATCAAGTTCTTGATTTGTGACTGCTGAAATTCTTGTCTGTACCTTCATATCTTTCACCACCATATTCATTTATTCTTTATTTTAACACATTCACAACAAGGCCGATTTTTCGATGACTGCCTTTTGGACCAGAGCATGTTGATATTCTAGTTCGTGTAATATTTTCTAGCCACTGTGGATCCAGTGGTCTGAAGTGTTAATCTTCTGGGAACTATTTTAAGAGATATAACAGGAGTTCGCCAAAAAAGTTTCATCATAATCTAGCAAAATCAAAACTTCAGAAAGCATACGACCCATCGGTGGGTCGTATTGTCCGAAATGGCAACGTACGATCCAGAGGTGGGTCGTATTGTCGTGAATGTGTTAACTCATCCGTACCGTTTGTAAAGAAGCGATGTGTGATCATACAAGAATCTACTAGGAAAACAAAAGAGATGTATGAATCTGGAATTTTCCATCTCTCTCCGAATGATCCTGACTCTTTCCAAACATGAAATCAAAGCAAAGTTCAAGACACACTATAGTGTATCGATTCTGTGATGTATTGATTTTTCTCTGCGTTTCGTAACTTTTCGTTCATTGTTGGCTTAATCATCGATGCTCACTCATACTATAAATGCTTCTGATTCCCGTTTTACCGGTTATCAGTGAGCGTTTTTTTTCGTTCCCCATATCGCTTATATTCTGATGAATTTGCGAAATAGTGGCGGTAAGATTACGCAATTGAGCTTTCCCCCCTCTTACTTCTTCATATCACGTATTTTTTCAAGAAAGGTTTTATATTGTTTTTAGTGCAAATTTTGCCATTTTCTTGCCATTTACTTCACCTTTAAATTGAATCTTTGCACGATTTTCCTCGCCACTTTTTTTCTCGCCTCCGTTCCTTTGAGGACACTTTGAATTGAAGTGGTTACGCTTTCTTTGCATCCTTTTTTATCTATGTGGAATTGCTCCCGGTCGCAAAATCTAAATATGCACTTTCTCTGATTCATGCTCCTTGATGTTATTCTTGCATTGAATTGTATATCGGAAAATTCTTCCATTGAATCGTATATCGGAAAATTCTTCGATTGAATCGTATATCGGAAACCAAAAGCAGCTTTGTCCTATCGAGTTTTTGACCAAATATCCTACGATACGCTTGATCACATGTTTGAGAACTGGAATCCACTTTTTTGGGGACAAAATATTGTCTTTCAACGGCTCGCATTGTTTGCTTTTGTCCTGCACTAGTTCGGTTCTTTGTGCTTTTGTCCTCTTATGGAATCGATCAATAGAATGACGTCAAGTTTGTTGCGACAGTCGTTTTCCTGAATGTTTGCGGGAATGATCGAATCAAAGCTTCTACCATTATCTATTGCAAGTTATAAACATTTCCATTTCACCTTCCTTTTTTTCATTTATCAAACTGGAGTTCACTCGAACGGTTATTACTGATTCGTCTCAAGCTCTCACTAACCCGTCATACATTTACCGATTTTTTCTTTGAATAACCTTTGATTAGCCGTTGCATTTGAAATATGTGTCTGTTCCAAGGGCAGAACGCCACTAGTGCGAAACCAGTTTGGTTGGCTTATGCACTTCTGTTAAAGTTTGCTCGGCTAATTCGTTTTTAATGTGACCACTGTACTCTTTAGTGCTGTCAATGAAACTTTTACTTGATTTCAGACGATTTCAAGTTGTTGACAATTATCAACCATGTCTGTGAATAATCCATCAGATTCTGGCGGTGGAGGAGGTAAGCTGCTTTGTTCTTTTTTCTAGCTTTCTATTTCCTTAATGCGAGTGCATTTACATTCATTTTTGCCATTATGACTGAGTTTTCATATCTCCAGTAAATTTTTGGAAATTTTATTTGATTTTTGATGTTATGTTGAACGTCAAACTTTTTCAAGACAAAGTGCTATACTTTGGTTCTCTTCTTCTGTCGTCGAGTCGTTTGCATCTCAGTATGCATACTGCACATCATGCATGCTATTTGACGGCTTATAAGATTAAAAACCTGCTTACTTTCAGTGATTTTTCCTATTCATTGGCTCTTTTGATGTGGTTGATCTATTGATTAGTAGAACAGATGTCCAGTTCGTTATTCTAGAGAAGGTTTTACTGAGTAGTTAGTGGTAAGAGTATTGTCCGTTGCCGTGCAAAGGCTGCAGATCACCATCAGGTTACAAGTGACTCGAGTATAAACGCTTTTGACACTAATTGTAAGATGTTGTATGCTGCAGTTTCCATACTATTTCATATAGGATTTATCTTTCTGTGTTGAAACGGTTAGGACTTACCTGATTGTTGTTTGCGTCATGTAGAAGAGCCGATAAACAAATTTGCTGTACTATTTCGCGTTCTTAAAAAGAAATTCCTCATTTTTGGATTCATCTTTCCACTCACTCTATGGACTTCGATCTATGATTTTTTTCCCAAATTTTAGACACTTATCTTTTATGATTTCTTCAGTGGTGTTGGTGATCGTAAGCGTTGCTCGTATGCGTTCCGTTCTTTTGCTAAGACACACCATTGAATCAGCCTTTGATTCAGTGATAAGTGCAGTAGGAATGCTTGTGCTTCTATATTTACGCCAATGAAAAGCTATTCCTCTTTCTAAATATTGAATTTGCGCGTAGATGCGCGAAGTGGTTGGCCGGCTTTCTGGGAGCTCGAAATGGCGTGCGAAGTAGGCTCTGAATGTTATTTTAAGTTGAAATGGAAGTATGCAAGTAGATTAGTCCGAAATATTTAATCGAAGTATTACTACAACATTCTAGATACTTTGGCTGAAGAATTTCCTTGTATGGGGGCGCAGCTTCTTTTATGTTGAAATATCAGCCTTTTTCCGAAGTTGGATGCATTGCAGATTTTCTAAAAGTTAGGCGGTCCGTGTCTGGAAATATTCTCTTTCTATTCTCCCTAACGCGTAAAATTTCCTGCGATTACCATTTAGTTCTCCAACTTCGACAAATGCGCGGAAATTGCACGAATCTCAGTGCGTCCTTTCTGTCATCAATTCAGCTTTGTACAGTTTGCAGCACAGCAAGCATTCTTTTCCGGTACTAGCAGCTCTATAGCTGGACTCTTACAATTCGTTGTATGAATAGAGTAAAGCGATATTGAAATTTCGCTGCGTTATGAACTGCTCAGAACCTTTTCAAAATGTTAGTCATACATGCAGACTGCCTAGTGATTTCAATATGATGTATGTTTGCAATTGCTCCGTAGGTTAGCCTTTCTTCATTTATAGGAAGTATCGTTATTTCGATTTGCCCTTTTTTGATTTAACTCTTGAAAAATTTGGTTTTGGCAAAGAATGATTCAAGCGTAATGCACACCTTTCTTATGCGTATTGTTTTGCGAATCGATTCAGCGCCTTTTTGAGAAATTTGCGTTTCGTGGTTTCCCTATGTTAAGACTGATTTATGATTTTGTAAGCGGTCCCTTCTGGAATGTCAACACCCCTCCCTCCTCCCATCATCATTCGTGTTTCGCTCATCGATATTAGGCGTCTCTCTCAGGGGCAAGAATCATCAGAAGCTGTACTATATATGTCTAGTTGTGAGGTCAAACGATATATTGTGGGTTACGGTGTTCTTAACACCTTCCAAAAACAAGGGTCTGGTTAATTCTGCTTTCGTTGGAATATCATGCAGGATCCGGCGAAGTTACAATTTTTTACTCCTCTCTTTTTCCAGTTTCGTAAATTTTAGTCGCGATCCTCGATTAATGCTGACAGCTAGCATCCTCCTGTGCAATCTTGCTCTCAAAAATCTGCTATGTTGCACCTCAGGCACTCAGAGCAGATGCTTTGCGTATTCGTAAGAAAATTGGGAGATGCGCCTTTTCAAAATGATTTGTCCGTGAGATTTTATGATATTTTTGGGAAAATGGGTGTATCTTATGATTTACGACTTTCTTTCAAAGTCATATGGTTGACTGCTAATCAGTGACACGTCATCAGATACGAAGAACTAAAACAGCTGCCGATTATGTTTGCTCAGTAAATTAGTTTTTGGAATCACACTTCGTTACATAAAGGCAGCCTTTGTCTAGCTTATTGTTGTTCAGATATTTTCATTCTATGTTCTATTCATTCCCCTTGGATTTATTTGTGAGTTTGTTTCGTTGCTCAAAGTATCTAAATCCATTTTGGCTGCTAAGCAACTATCCTTTTCGTCTTTCTGTTTCTGGAATACACGTGTCATAGCATGCGCTCTCACAAGACGAACATCATCGCGTTTATGAAACCAATTAGAGTAAGATTTTGCAAAAATGTGAAAAAAAAAGAACGGGAATCTTGCAGGCTGCTGTCATTAGTTGTGTTGGTGTTCGTTTTTACAAATACAACAATATGAATTCCTACCAAGCTTTCCTACCAAGCGAAATAGTTGATTAATTCACAAGTGTTAATGCAGTTTAGCGCGCGTAAATCTGAGAAGGAGACAAATAATTACGATTTGCATGTAATTTTCCATAAAGTCATAGTTTGCAAAAATGCATGCCACTAAGAAAATCGGTCTCAGCTCTCGATAACACTCTAACTCCATTCTTTAGGGAAAATGTACATTTTTTGCTGAAAAATCCCATGGAAAACAATTTTTTATTTACTTGAATGTGTATTCAGGCGCAGAAGTCGCATTCGCAAATCCGCCTTCCATGAGCGAAATGGACATGGGAGCCATGGGCGCATGGGCCGAAATCATGGCAGAAGAGCAGGTACTTTAACTGCTTTACGACGAAAATAAATGAGCGAGCATAAGTGTGCTTACACAGGTACAATCTGCGCCTCCAAGCGAAAAAAATGACGAGCACGATTCGACACAAGAGCAGAGTGCGGAGGAAAACAACGGCAGTACGATGAGAAAACAATCAGAACAACAGCAATATTTTGCAGTGCAGGTATGCGGCAGAGATTTCAACAAGCATTTCATTTTGATTTTCGAATTTTTACTCTATTTTTCATGCTTACAGGTAACAAATTTGCCTGCTTGCACAAATGAAGAACTCTTTTATCATTTTGGTGGTGATAGTGTGGTGAGCTGCTCGGTTTTTCTATATAAATGCTAGTTGTCTACTTTGAGTTTATAGGTGCGCGACATCGCATTTTTACCCGATCGTAGATGTGCGGCAAGAATTGACTTGCACACAATAGAAGGTTTAAAACGTGCAAAAGAGCTTGATGGACAACAGTTTAGGGGCAGGACCCTTAGAGTAAGTTTCTAACATTGCGTAGTTTCCTTTTTCGCTTTATTTTTCTTTCATTCAAAAGATTTCGAAAGTTATTCGCAAAGGTAGGAGTGTGTTTACTGGGTTTGCACATCCACTTATATGCAGCTCAGTATGTCAGTCATGAGCGATAAACTCATCAGATCTTTTGTAGGTATACGAGATTCGAGAAGACAGAGTACAGAGGCAAATACCTCATGAGTTTACAAATCGCCAGTTTAGTAACGAACCACCACCATATAGCAGAGAAAGCAGCAGGTACCTTTATTTTTCTTGATGTTTGATTAAGTTCGAATTTCTATATTCTATTTGAAGTTCTAAATTTCAATTTTCATACTCTGTAGTCCATGCCATCTCTAAAGGATTAACTATTTTCATGCTAAGGTCAATTTATGATGCGACTCAAAAGTTTCCACACTTTCTATCGTTTGTTTCCTACATGTCCCGAGATTGAACGGCATTGTTGTGAGATCTGTTTTGTAATTTTTGCAAAGCCCAGACAGTGTCTGTTTTCATTGTTTGAATTATCTGGATTTAACTTTTTGCTTTGCGCACTGTGTTTTGGAAAATTTTGATATTGAAGGTACTCGCGGCCACTTACGAAATGTTCTTTTGCAGATATAACAGCCAGTCCAGCTTGTATAGCAACGACGCAAGGACACATGATAGGGGGTAAGTCTTGTATAACTCCGAAATTATTATTTTTTGCTTAGTGTGCCAATTTAGGAACCGTTCATATAATAATTCGAATGATTATCGCGGAGGTAACCAATATCGTGGTCCAATGGCTGGAACATTTCCACGAGGAGGAGGGAAGTATTTCAATAACTATGATGATTATAACAATATGGGACGTTATCCGGGTGGTCAATCATTTCGTGGCGGCGGGCCATACTATGTGGGTTATCAGATTCTCTTTATTGTTTTCTTATACTGTTTTCTTTATCCTTTCCTCGTTTTCCTTCATATTTCTTCCTTCAATTCACAAATTTTTTGATTGTTCAGTTAAATAGGAAGATTTAGAACCATCAGTACGGCGGCGGTAGTGGTGGAGGCTATCCCCCACGATCCCGAGGGATGCAAGGACGTGGTGGTTATAACGCTGGAGGAGGTGGTGGAGGATACTACGGAGGTCAGGATCTGCAGCGTAGCGATAGCTACCATCATGATGAAAGAGACAGGCCAGCTCCTATTACGTTAGTTTCATTTTCACTCACTCTATGCTTTTACTCAAATTATACTTGCCATTTTATGGCAGTTTGTTGGTTTTAAGGTGTGAGTCGTCCAAAAAATTTGTTTCCTTCAGTTTTCTCCTTCTTGCTTTTCCTGGAGTTCATGATTCTCTCTTTCTTTTTCTGGAATCCATGAAATCTGTGATTTTTTTCCAAATCAGAAGGAATTTGTGTTGTTTGAAATCCTAACTACGAGCCTCTGAAAGAAATTTTTTCAGTCGTTCCCGTACCGAGTCTACTGCATTTGACGCCGAAAGGCGTAAAATGGAGCTCTCGAGAACATCATCTCGGCTGAGCACGAGTACGGAAGATGTTGACAATCCAACCCCAAGAGTAAGTTTTGTAATATATTTTACATCTCACATCTGAGTTTTTTCATTGAAAAACATAGTGCAAGGTTTCTGAAGCTGTCACTCTAGGTACCGGCAAAGAAACTCACCAACAAGGACATCTTTGGTGAAGCCAAGCCTGTGGATACTTCGGAGCGACTTCGTGAAATAGAAGCGAAACAAGAACGAGAACGAATGCTTGAACAACAAAAATATAAAGTGAGTGTTAATTTTAGTGTTTGCACTTTTATTTTACTTGTTTTGGTCAGTCATTTCTTACATATCAAATTGTTTGCACCCTTTAATGTCGTGTTAGCCCTCTCAGGAGGAAGCTGAAGCAGCACGTTTGGCTGCTGCAGCTGAACATACTGATAACGTTGCTCCACACCGCGATCAACACCAGTATCCCATCCACCAAGGCCATCCTGCACATCATGGCAATCATCATCATCAATTTCATCATGCACCCTCACGGCAGGGCCTTCCTCCTGTACCGGTTCGCTACTTCTGATTTCTCTCTCGCATATGGTGTTTACGCGTTTTCTCAACCGCAGTTTTCAGTATGGCCCTTACCAAACCCATAATATGCAGCAACATGCACAACAACCACATCCAAATGCTGGACAGTATCATCCACAGCAGAGGTACGATGGTGGCGGCCCACCCGGAAGCTATAGGTAAGCGGGCTTTGTCTGACTAGTACTCTATGTAACTTTTTGCGAGTCACACCTTATCTCCTGCAATAGTTATGCATTTTTGTTGTTGTTCTTTCCAAAGTGATTGTTTCGGCAATTATTAGTTGTTGATGCGTGTACAGTGTTTCTCAAAAACATAACCCAATGTTGCTTTCACATTAAACTTCCATCTTTTTATTATAAAATTACCACAAATCAGGATTGTTCTGTTGTTATCTTCAAAACATTTTCTTTTTCCACAGGATAATGCGTCGTGAGTCGGCGGATGCCACGGATGCGAGCCCGCCACTTGATCCTGTGCATGCGAAAGCGCCTGCGCAGAACATCACCATCCCCGAAAAACCAGCAGAAGCAACCACTGCTGAGGTTATCGTTGCTTTTTTACATATTCCTCCATTGGCGCAACCATACACATGATTTAGATGGCATCCCCTGGAGCAGCTTCATCTGGAGATGCTCCGCCGACATCAGCCAGACGTGATTCAGTATCCGATCGTCGTCGTCCAAATGATTCAATGAGTAGTAGTGGAGGTGCGGAAACGTTACCACGTCCACCGGGAAAGGTGCGTTGTTTTTCGAACGCGTCTTGTTTTTACAGTTTGTTTTGTGTTATGGTGACGATTTTGTTTTTCAGCAGCGCATTGTTTATCGTAGCAAAGGTGCGGGTGCACCGCTACAAAAAAGCGCTACCATCAGTGAGATTCGTGATGCGGTAGCACCGCAGAGGTAAATTTTTACTTTTTTTCAATTTTGATTTTACTAATTTATGCATCCCTAGCACTTTACTGTTCTTTGCCAGTTTGAATTTTCTCATGAGTTAGTTTTTGATTTGTATATCTGCGAGATAAATTCTCTTCAGAGGTAGAGGAGGTGGCCGAGGAGGTCGTGGTGGACGCGGCTACCATCGCGGTGCGGCACCAAATGATCGACGAAGTAGCTTTTCTGGTGTTGAAAAGCCTGCTCCAGTTTCGGCTAATATGGCTAATATGACTAAATCAATGGGGCCTGAAAATGAAACCAATGAACAAAGGCAGTCGAATGATGAGCGGCAAGATCGACCTGAGCGCAAGGTTCGTCACACTTTTGAAGTAGGGCTAATGGCGACTTCATCTTTTGCGTTTGTTCTTTTAGTCGCCTTTTTTTGCTAATTCTGTGCACTTCAGGAACATCATGGCTCCCACGCATCGTTGCGCGGAAGCCGAACAGGTACCTTGCGAAGAAATCGTGGTAGTTATCACAAAGATAGAACGCCACGAGCTTCCCGAGATGAAGAACCCTCAGACGCGGAGCCGCGAAAAGAAGTGGGGTTTGGTTTCACCTGAAGGTTTTGCTTAAGTAGCTGATAAGTCAATAAATGTGTAAATTTTTAGCCACAAAAACCAACTGAAGACCGACAAGAACGAATAGAACGACCAGAGAGACCAGAGCGAATAGAAGAGAAGCCGGCGCCGCAACCAACAAAGAAAGAGCCCGCAAAGGCGGGAACTCCTGCAGCTGTGCCAGCGACGTCAACGTCATCTACTTCAACACAAGATAAAAAGAAAGAGAAAAAGAAGTCTAATAAGGTAGTTTTTGCAGTCTTGATTAAGCATTTCATTTAATGTTTTTTCTACTTTCACTTTGTTTTTGTGGTGCCCTTTTCCTTTTTCACTTAGCTGTAAGCACAATCTGGTAACCATGGGAAAGGCTCATAGGAGCTGGAAGTACCACGATAGTTTTATTAATTCGCCTTGTTTTTATAATTTTTTTTCTAAAAGCGACGTTTTAGTTTATCTCAAACTCCTGTTTTTGCTTTTGCGGGGTATGGAAGCGTCAGAAAACTATTTTTTTAATCATGTTGTCTGCGGTCTTTGGCGTCATGGGTATAAGAAGTTCAGGTCTTAGGTATATGACGTTGTCTCTCTGTTTTTAACACATTGACGACAAAAGCCTTTCTCGGACCAGCCAACATTTTTCAAATAAAATCACACACAATTCCATCTACAGTACACCTACAGTAGCGCTGGAATGCTGGCAAAAACAGTTGAGGTGGTATCTAAACCCAACATGAAAGAAAACTCCCGGGGTTGGTTTGACACATTTTAGTAGCCTTTTCAATGAGAGTCATGGTGTGTCAACCCTTGACACACCATGTGTGTCAAGCGGTCGTCAATGTGTTAATGGTTGAACTGAGCTCATATCTTTTGATCTCGTGTGCTTGTCATTCCCCTTCAGAAAGTGGGTAGCTCTAAGGTTCATTTGAGCGCGAAGTTTAAGATGATGAAAGCTACTTTCGCGTCTTGGCTGTTCGACCCCCTAATCTTTCATTCTTCTTTTTTTCTGTTACCTCTCATCTTGGGCGCTCACCATTGTCATATCTTTCGCAAAGTCCAATCTAAAAATGTTGTCAAAGTGGATTGTTCCTTTTTCTTTTTCACTGCGTGTGTGGCTTCTTCATTCCGTATTCTTAAACATTTTTTTCAGAAGGAAACTTCAAAAGGAGGAAAAGCATTGAACAATAACAAATTTGCTCTTCTTGTCGATTCTGAAGATTTATAGATGGTGACCAATTATAACAACGCGTCAAGAATTAATACTTCTCAACGATTGTGTTAATTTCTCTTGATTTGTACTTTGCCTTAGTAATCGCTAGATCATTCAAATACGTGTTTCATGCTGCTTTGCCAAGTGTTTCGTTCTTATATCTCTTCCCCCATGCATCCGTACCCTTATTCTTTTTTGTACCCCCCTTTGTTTTACGTGTGCGGTTTCATTATAGTCCGTCTTCGCATACAAAAATATTGTATTATGTAGCATAGAAAGTGTTCTCATCGTACTACTGTCTGCGCGCCCGTTCATATCTCCAGTCTGGTCTCTTTTTCATATATTTTCAGGTGTATTGTTTTTTGATTATAAGTAAAGATACAGAATATTCTGTTGTCTTTTCTTGTTGTCAGTATATGTGTGTTCTTCTTTCGATACGCTGTAATATACGAAAATTTAGCTCCGTTTTTCTCCTGCGTCGGTGTCAGTCACTTGTCAGTACAAGCCGCGTTTTAGTTTTACGAAATTTCCTCTTTTTTGAAGAATTTTCTTCGTCATCAATAATCAGTAATGAAGTTAGGATATATGAAATACACGCGAGGTCAGCGACAAGGTTCCTGATGTATTTTGTGAAAAAAATTTTGAAGTAAATTTTGCCTTCCATTTTCCTGTCGCTGATTTCGCAGTGCTGTGCAGCGCTGCAGACTGACCGCTCTTCTTACCCTTATTACTCAGCAGCAGCTCTCTTGTCATTTTGATCCGTTTCCGGTTTTTTTTACCCCCTCCCCCCTTCCACAGCTGTTGTGTTCATACTTTTCTTCAGTCTTTCTCGAGATTTGACTTTCTTTTGCAAACATTTCTAGGAGAGAAATTGCTTGAAGGTTTGAAAAATTATGAACACAACGAATTTATGATTCTCCTACCATGATAATATACATAGCACAGCCCTCCTGTTGTTGTTTTCGTTTTTTTACTTTTCTCCTTTGTGTCTTTGTTGTTGCTCTTTTTATTATCCATGTTTGTACAATAATCTGTTAGTGTTAATGCAGCCACCTTCTCTTCAGAAGGGTTAGTGCACTGGTCATCAATTTATGTGTGTTGTTCTTGATTTTTTTCTCTCCTTGTAGAAGTCTGGCATATTTTATTACCAGCCTTTGAAGATATATTTCCCACAATATATTATTCAACGAGTGTTTCAAGGCTTTGTTGAGCTTTATAATCAATGCAGAATCTAATAAAAATGAATTCATAATCATTGTGAACAAAAAAAGTTACGATGAAGTGACGAGAAAAAATGGGATGTTCAGAAAAAGTTTGATGTATGCGTTGATGTAGGAGTTGTTATTCCGAGTCCGAATCCGCTCCATTACTTCCGGGCCCAATTTGAACTGAAAATACCAATAAAAAGCTAATGCCTAAGAGTTTTACCATGGCTCTCACTTACCAATCTTGTCTCCTTTCTCTCCATGCCCAAGTATGGCAGCCAAACCTCCCAAGCCTTCGTAAGAAGAAGAATTTCTATGGGAATGATGCCTTCCATGCGGTCTCCCTATTGGGTGATGTGGATGGGCAACCGTGAAAATTACTGCGCGCAAGGCTCTACCAACAACCGGATCAATGTCAAGGTTGCGAAGTTTTTCGAACATTTCATCTTTGGAGAGTTTGTCATCAGTGACGATTTTGTGGGCCTAAGCATAAAATTTCGACTTCCTACCGCTAAAATCTCTTGTATGGAAGATATGGCCATTTTGTACGTGTATTGTAAGCTACCGTAATCTGTCCTTGAGTCCGCTGGAACGCGAGGTATATCCTTTTTACCCGAGCTCGAACGACAAAGTGTCTTTGTTACGAGAACGCATCGCAAAGAATATTGCATCTTGTTATACCATGCCGGCCGAGTCACGGTAGCGTACTGTAGCGTTGCAAAAGGACCGCTTCCAGAAAAAAACAAAGCCACCCACCTTTGAATGAGCTGCTTCAAGCTTGCTTATGACGATGCTTACGTTTTTGTGTATATCGTTGAAGTAGGCTTTCTTCTTGTCGTCAAATTTGTGGAGCTCTTCCTTAAAAACTCATTTTCTTCATTAGAAACATTTGTTTGCTCTGTCAAGATGGAACCACATCGCATTTGGAGAATGCTTTATTATTTTGAAAAATCTAGGAGTTTTGAAATCCTAGAAGGGTTCTGAATCACCTACTAAATTTATTCATTTTTTGCTTCAAGTTTGTGTTCTATCAATTTCTTATCCAAGCATAAATACTAGTCAGCCAAGCCATGAAATTTTTACTGTTTATTTTTAACTAATTCAAGTTTTTCTCTATGCAAGTTGTTTTACATTGTTGATTAGTAATAAAATGTCAATTCAACTTTTCAGTGATAATTATCTATAATTTTTTGTTGCTCGTTATGTATATATCTGACTGAATCAATCTGATGAATCAATTGAAGATTTATCATTGAAGAATTTGGAAGCTGTATTACTTTCTGCCCTTCTGAAAGTACAGCCACTCACCAAAACGGAGCCACCCTGCTTCCTCGCCCATTCATCGGCTTTTTTCCTAATCTCATTGCGTGGAGTTTTACGATCCTTCACGATTCCGAAAAACTCTTTACGAGCATCACTAGACACGTTTCTGAAAGAGGGAATTCGTAAAATCACAGATTGAGAAGCATTTCTTTCTTTACGAGCGGCATAATTGGTTTCCCCCATTATCAAAGGACAACATCAGACTCTTCTTGTGAAGTTAACTACTGAGGGTCAAAATGCTTACTTCAAGAATGATGGCATGTGCTCTTCACTTGGTGGTCCACGATGATGATGATCTGAAAATTTGTTGAGATCAACTGTGGGCTCAAAAATCGACGATAAACTAACGTTTATGCTTGTGATGTTCCTGGAAGGTAACGGCGACGAGTGCGAATAGTAAAATTTTCAGCAACATCTGTAAAAGCAAATACTTTCGGTTTTCTGTTCTTCAAGGGTACCAGGAACAAACACCGAGGAATAGGGTAAAGTGATGGATAAAAATGTTGAAATATACAGAAGTAAAGATTCTATGGAAGAAAATTAAACTGTCAATAAATATTATAAGCGATTTATTTTTCTCTTTAGTTGCCATTTCTTAGAAAGCTAATTGTTGAAAAGAAAGGCATTAGAGAAACCTCCTACAAGCAAAGAAATATCTCTATTAGAAATCTCATTCACTCGGCAAGATTGCAGCAGATGTTACTAGCCAATAAACATTCGAGCAGAGTTATCGATGCCAGAAGGACTTATTAGAAACAGATTTCCTTCCTAAGAAAAACTGAAATAGTTCAGAGACCATGAAAGGTAGTGCCATCAACACTGCTAAAGACCGAGTGACATATTACCTCAGCATTAAGTACCCTGTAACTTCTTGAGGTCACAATTTAGTTGACCTATGTAAGTGTTAGAACAGTTTCGCACCTTTCATAACCGCAAGTGTAGCGTTGGTGGAAGAATATCCTTTGGCAAATCACTATAATCGTCTCAAAAATGTGCGCATTGTTTGTTCGTTAATAATTCTCTTATAACAAAAGTCTTTTCTGGAACTTCAGGTAACATGCTTGGAGGGCTGACTTCAAGTTAGATTCGCAGTGCTAAAGAAATTACAGGTCGCTCATATTACTGTAGGCTACGGTAGATCCCTAAAACAAAAGCTTTACTGCAAATCAGCTACCACTTCAAACAAATTGCAAAGCACCTGAGAGCTTTTTTCATGTTTTTTAACCCTCTAGGATCACTAAATAATTTCGTACAATTTTTCAAATTACTTCAAATGGTGTAAATGGACTATTGATAATTATCGGATGGCCACTGTTACGGTAAACTTTGAAGGAGACTACAAGTGCAATTCCGTGTATGGTATCAACAACCGTAACTTATAAAAATTAACCATTTAGAGCTCTTTCGGAGTCTTCTTTGACGCACAAGCTTGAACTGAGACCAATCCCTCTCCAACGATTTCACCGTAATTTCACAGTATAGAAGAACGGTCAGTGTTTTTTTTTGTACTGTGATCTATGAACTCAACTGTAAAACAAGGTCTAAAGGTTGGCGAGGACTTATGAGAGATTTATCAAAAGTGAAACTGTGCATTCCTTGCGATATGTGTGAATGAATAGATCAACTGCAATATGTTCGCTTAAAAATTTACTTTCTAAGAACAATAATATAAAAGCGTTCTGCAGAAAAAGAAATTTAGATTTTTTAGCCATATATAAAGCAATTTTGTCTGGGAAAAATACAAGCAAACGATTCACAGTGTGTTTTTGGAAGTATACCAAATATGATTCAATTTATTAGTTGATCTATGGTTTCATGATCACGCAATATTCTCCCTCCAGTGGTTAAACCTATTTAGTCATATCTCTGAAAGTTACTACCACCATCCGATGATGCTAAATCTTGGCGGAGAGAATGCAGAAAAAAGAGCACACATGGTCATGATTTCTGAGGAATTTTCTGCGAAACTGGAAGCCTAGCATTAGTTCTAAGTTTTTCGAAAAAGAAATCTTTTCTCATGTGTTATACACTGTGCTCTGAAGGTGATGCCTTCCGTAACTCGAATGCAAGGAAATTGAGATTAGTACAAATTTCAGTTGGTTGCTAATGTTGCCAAATGCCAAAGTTGCTGGTCTGTTAGTGTTGCTCGCCATTTCAAGATGACTGAATTAGGTACTTGAAAAAAGATTCAAAGTGTAAGTAGCGGATCGAGACTTGACTTTCTACTATTGATAACACACTTAAGTCCGAGTATACCGTAGGTAGCAGAGTTCAATGTCGTAGAGCACGACCGGTAATTAGAGAACTACGACAGTCGTAACCTTATTATATTTTTTCGTGAGCACCGCATAAGTGAAGACTCGTAATCCAATCCATTGAAGTTCTTCACGCAAATTCCTGAGTGGGCTGCCCTTTCGATACTAATTCTGCTATTGCCTACTGTAGCTAATATATGAACCAGTTACAAATCGAATGTTAAAATACAAGTGCCAGTAACAGCTTGTAAAAATCAGGGTGAAGCAATGCCTCTAAACAGCATACTACCTTTTTTCTTGTTTCAAAAAAGAAAGGAGAGAAAAGACAATGAGTGTAGTAATGAGACCACATTTGGTTGAATGAGTTTTCGATGGCAAGATCACACGAGCAAATGTTTGTTTATTTTTATAAGTGCAACGATATCGAATTGCAAATTGAACTCATGGAATGGAAGATTTTCTGGTATTTCTTTTTTCGGTACTTATCTTGCGTTATTTCAACCTATCGATGTCAAACCCGATTTTTACAATCTTTTTTAACATGTATTTTTGATGATTCCCATCATAGCAGGCTGCTGTTTTTCAACTGATATGATATTGGCATGGAATTAGAGCTGCTTGTGCTGTTTACCAGAAAAAAAAGAAAAGAAACTTTTTTAAGCATGGTTGCAGGAAAATGATTATAGATTTTGTAACTATCTGGGAAATTCTATCAGTTTTTGTATCCCTTTTTGTACTGCTAGTTTTGAGGGAACAAGCTAGCTTCTGTGAGAGATACTCACAATCAGATCTTGTGAAAGTTCTTTTTTTTCTAGTTTTCTACTCAAGCTCTCACTATTATAAAACCTGTGCAAATGTGGAGTTTTTCTCTTCATTTAATCTCCATGATATCCAAAGGCCATGATTAAATTTTAAAGTGAGTTAGCTACCCTTTTTTGCAATGAATTCAAAGCACTGCTCCTTCTGTACCCAAATGAGAATTCCCTTGCAAATTGCCAAACTATCGAAATAAATCAGCCAAAATGTCGTTCGCCCCAATTCTGTTCTCAATGGTTGCGCTTTTCGCAGCTACTACTTGACCCAAGGAAGACGAATTAGGTTCAAATCACTTTTTTGAAAACCACGAAGTTTGAACTATCACATATCTTGCCATCTTTGCCATGGGAGGTGTAGCGCTTTTTGCCCCTCTAAATTTTCAGTAAATGATTGATAGTCTTTTTAGGAAGTCACCCATAGTCGGCTGAAAGAGTCTGAACTGAATCGTACTCTGCCTGCTTTGCCGAGTATAAAAACAGCGCCGACGCAAAACGTCCAACTTCTTCAATTCCATATCCTGAGCTTTTCCTACAGTTTGCGAAGATAGAGGAAGTGTGAATTTCTATTGGAGTGTTTTCAGTGGGGATTCCAGGGTACACGCTCAATGATCCCCTTTACAAAGATTGCTTTTCCTGAGATGGGTGATGCTGATGTCGACATACCACGGCAACCGCTTTGTGATAATGGGACCAGCATGAGTTAAAACTTAGGAAAAGTTCGATGAATTGCCCTCAGCTTAAAGGCAGCGTCCAGTCGAATTCAAAACTTGGACTTTGTCTATACTGTTTTGGGGAGGGGGGAGGGAGGGAGTTGAATAAGTGATTTTCCAAGGGGCAACATACAAAAATCATTTCTGGCTTTCAAGTCGAATGTCTGGCCCCTGCCGTACTAGAACACGCTAATTGGTGTAACAGTACGGTACTAGGGGAAAATTTTAACTGAGTTTTTCGGCCAAAGTGCATCTGATGGTCTTACACCTGGGCAATGACTATTATGGCTCGATTAGATTCTTTACAAGAAACCCCACGTACAGTTTGAGGGCATTGTTTTCAGCGCTCGAAGAGCTTCAGTCAAAAAAATTTGAATTTTTGGACATTTTTGATCCATTTCATGGCAGTTATGGCCAATCGTATAATCTTGCACTTCAATGCTTTATGAGCTATCGAAGTAGTTCTATAGGGAAGTCGTCATCCACGAGATAGCACGTGCTAGAGCAAGCACAGAATTCCGATCCCGAGTGATTTACGATTTGGATAGCTTTGCTAACGAGGGAAAAGCGAGCCGTCCATCATCGGTCGTATTGGCCAACAATGATTCGGCACGGTAATATCGTTTTTCCATGCACTTTTAGTAGGTAATGCAGAATTTCATGAAGGAAAGTAAATGCCTTTTTAGGGGGCATTTTTAGCTGTGATTATTACTATGTTTTTGTTCACTAGATTTTGTTCTATGTTTGTTTTCTGGGGCAGGTCATGCGGATAAAAAGCTTGATCATCTTGTTTCCGAAAGTCGTTTTGAATGCGGAAATTTGCGAAGAGCTACTCAAGTTTGTCAGTTTATGAACTCACTTCAGAATTTTGAACAGCAGGACATTTATCAAAAGAATGAGCATTATCAGTGGTTTTATTTTGAGGTAAAAATTCCGCTTTTTAAAGTTTGACATCCATGAAGTTTTTTTCTAGGTTTCAAATACTATGAGTAATCTTCCTTACACTTTCGAGATTATCAATTGTTTTTTTTTCAAGGAATGCAAACCGTTATGTATTCTGTTTGTGATCTAGCTGGACATCGCGAATGGGTTCGCGCTAGTGAGACAGTATGCTATTGCTGTAATCTCTACAGTTCTGGTGAAGACAGTGACGCCGATAAGCAAGTCCAGGGAACGGTAGGTTATGAGTTTTGCTATCTTTTTGTATATAAATTTTTCTTGATTTTTTTAGTGGCTTTTACTCGATTTGTTTCAATATAACCTTCCGGAGTAAGTGTGATATGTTATTTTGCTTACCATTTTCCCTATACTTACTCCTTTCTTAAGGTAATTCTCGCAGCTATGCGTAATTTCACCTTCAACATGCATTTTTTGCAGACTCCATCATCTCCAGACGTCTTTCTCAATTAACGTCTAATGTTTACAGGGTGCGTCAAGTTTGGGGGCCTAGTACTTTTTCGTACAAAATGGGAAGGGAAGTACTTAGAAACGAAAAATTTGGAGCACATACAGTTCGAACCATTGCAGATACAGCCCAGTTCTTGAATTGCAAAATTGCCTCTTTTGGCTTTCATGCCGCCCTACAAAATCTTGGCAAGTCCACCTGTCATGGCACGCAGGTAGTCGTAATGGAAT